TGATCATCTAGTCTGACCTCCCGCATGATGCAGGCCACAAAAGCTGACCCACCCCCTTCCCTTAACTCCACTGTTGAAGTCCCCAAATCCTGTGATTTAAGGACCTCAAGTCGCAGAGCATCCCCCAGCTAGTGACCCCCGCCCCACGCTGCAGGGGAAGGCGAAAAACCTCCAGGGCCTCTGCCAATCTACCCTGGAGGAAAATTCCTTCCCGACCCCAAATATGGCGATCAGTAGAACCCCGAGCATGCGGGCAAGATTCTCCAGCCAGACCCTCATTGACCATTGATACTATTTACCCGCGATGCCACGTTGTTGATTGATTGACTAAAATCACGTTATCCCATCAAACCATTCCCTCCATAAACTTATCGAGCTTAATCTTAAAGCCAGAGAGGTCTTTCGCCCCCATTGTTTCCCTTGGAAGGTTGTTCCAAAATTTCACCCCTCTGATGGTTAGAAACCTTCGTCTAATTACAAGCCTAAACTTCCCCACGGCCAGTTTATATCCATTCGTTCTCGTGTCCACATTAGTACTGGGTTCTCTCCCTGGCAATGGGAGGGGAGTGGGGGCTGGTGGTTAGAGCGGGAGAGGGGGGACGGGGGGCTGGGAGCCAGGACTCCTGGGTTCTCTCCCTGGCTCTGGGAGGGGAGTAGGGCCTCTGGGGGGGTTGGAACCCGGATGCCTGGGTTCTCCGCAGTCCTGATAGTGTCCCCCCCGCAGACGGAACAGACCCCCCCGGCGCCCGCGCCCTGCCCCAGGGTTATTTCTACAGCTTCCTTTACGGGTCGGCGGTACTGCTGCTCTGCTTGCTGGTCTGCCTGGTGGGGGCCCGGATCTACGCCCGGGCCGCCTTCCTCATCTTCCTGGTGGTCAACCTGGTGCTGGTGGCCATTTTCGTCAGCTTCGTGGCCGTGGGGCCCCGCCAGGTGTCCGTTGCCCGGGACGCCAACCACACCTTCAACGCCAGCTTCACCGGCTTCCGCCTGGCCACCCTGCGGGCCAACCTGCCCGGTCAGCGGGAGCAGGGGTTGGGAGGGGCAGAGGGAGAAAGGGAGGGGTGGGGGGGCAAAGCAGGGGATGGGGGGGTGTTGAGCGGGGAGGGGGTGTTAGGGGGCAGGGGGGGGTCGTGGA